AAGAATGACACCCAGCTCTGATGATGTCCTTCATATGATGGACGAAAGCTCAGCACGTTTTCACCCGAAATGAGGGAGGAAGTCTTGTGGACTGCTTCAAAATAAATATCGTATAAAAGCCAAGCGGCTGCAGTACAACGAGATTCATCCGTCCTCATCTGGTGAGGTCGACCAACGAATCTCTTATTCATGCACTTTCATACGAAATAAAAGTCCCCCTAACAATGTTTCTCTTCATATCTTAATTACAGTCAATCAGGAATGAGAAAGATATTTTACATCGTTGGGGGAACTCCAACTATCCGCACCTTATCTAAAGTGTATTCTGAAGTCTGCTTATGCACGTTTTGTGTTTATGTAATACTCGATTCATTACATTTTAGAGGCCTAACCCGTCTCCAAGCTAACCAAGCCTCATACTCAGTAGTTCATCGCCCCTCATTAGCTTGTCCCTTATAACGAGGCATAACTTAGTGGCTATACTCTTTTCATATTTCAGAATTAAATCTATCTTATTATTGTTTATTGTTCTTATTCTATTGTAGCCTCATCTCCCAATAGTTCAGATGGCTTATCCACTTCTCCACACTCACCCTTGCCTCCAGATGATCTTACCTATCCATCACCTAGGCGAAATGGTGTTGATGATTCACAAGCTCTTTATTCTCCCAGCTTAGATCCTATTGATCCCGAGCTTCACTCTTCTGCTGAATCTCCTTCTAGCTTGCATTCTGATGAGCAGCTTATCTCTGACGCTCCAGCGGAGCTCTCAAATGAACTCTGCCAAATTGCCTTGGATAACCCTTCTAATGGTTTACTCGACTCCTATCTCGACGAGGAAGCATCTCTCGGATTTCAGGAGGACTTTGTATCTAAGTAAGTTAGCCATTCAACATCACAAAGTTCGTCAGTCTCGTGTTTATCCTTTTATTTATTTTTCTGCTCATCTCTGTATATACTCACTTGAAGCTTGTATCTAAAGGTAATTTTGATTGCCATAATTTGTTTTGTGAACAATTTAAAACTATTTTATT